GACACTATGTGAGAAAAATAAATAGAGAATCAAGAGGCTTTGCTGGAGTTATGGGGTTATCATTCATACAAGCTAACTATTCACCCCTGTACTCGCACTAATTAGAGCGGAGGGAAATGCTGAGGTCTGCAATTACCGCAGTGTCCACAGTCAACCAGCGTAAGGCCATTCACCCCTCGCCTATTGTCAGAACCCTGCCAACTATGTCATTTCTGCAAACCATAAAATCAAATTACTCTTTTGGAGACTTCTAAACTTCAAACTGAAAGGATCTTTGCTGAATTAATCAGATGCTTTACGTAATGTATTTGAAATTTCAATTAGAGGCTCATTATTCCGAAACACTGTCTGACCTAATCCAGCAGCCTCGTTAACATGCTCTCGTTAGCATTACTTTGGGTTTATTGAGTTTTCTGCTCCTGCCTGAGCGAAGGCTTCCCTAATTTTACTGCACATCTTAACGGACTTTCTCAGTGCATCCACTGTAGCTGCACTTATAGTTGCGCTTGTCTTTTCCTGTAGTCCTTTTTTTTGTAGCTTTATTTTTTAATTCACATTTAGGTATTTTGATCAGACATATTTCTCAGGGCTCCTTAGAAATGTTTCAAATTAAAATGTGCAGGTCCTGTTGACCATGGTATCTTCCATTTGAAGACTGCTACAGATAAAACTGCTGAGACAATTCCAAATGTTTTTGGTCTCCAACTACATAAAATGCATAACATTTTGAATGTTGCATAAGTTTTGCTTTTATAAAAAGGTGCACGTCCCTACAAATGAACAATAACTAGACCTTTGAAAATAATCTAAGCTGAAAGTTGGAACTTTGGGGTTGGATTACAATTACTGCTATAAGAAGTTATGTTACTGGTGGCTTGGACAGAGCACCGTATGCGTTCCCTGATTAGTAGATCTTGTGAAAGTATCTGATCCTGTTGTCACCAAATTACTTCTGCGTGAGTACAGGAATATTGAGTTTTTTTCATGGCTCTGAAACAATTTGAACAATTATTGGACAAGTAGGCTCACGTTTTTAATTTTTTTTTTCTCCCTCTCTCCTTTTCTAAAGCAATTAAATAAAGATCATTTAGTAAAAACAAATTAACAGATTATATAACCTTCACATCTGCTGTCACTGTAGCAGAGTACATCTGTATTTAGAATGCAATTCTGTTTTTAAAAGCTTGAACAGTGTAAAGTTGGCTTTAAATGCTAAGAAAACTACATTAACGGACACTTCAAAAAAATTACATTTGAAAACATGTTTTTCAATTAAAAAAATAAAAGATGTATTACATCACATGCTAATTTCCCACCAAAGAGCAAGTTGAAGCCACCCTTCTGTTGTTACATACCTCAGCTTTAAGAGCCCTTGGTTCTGTGTATCATGTTTGTTTAATATTAATTTCAAATTTTAACTCTCTAACTCATTAATGGTATGTACAGGTGCTGGTCATAAAATTAGAATATCATGAAAAATAGATTGATTTCAGTAATTCCATTTAAAAAGTGAAACTTGTATATTATATTCATACATTACATACAAACTCATATATTTCAGATGTTTATTTTGTTTAATTTTGATGATTACAAATGACAACAAATGAAAATCTCAAATTCATCATATCAGAAAATTAGAATATTGTGAAAAGGTTCAAAATTGATGGCCCCTGGTGCCACACTCTAATCAGCTAATTAACTCAAACCACCTGCAAAAGCCTTTAAATGGTCTTTCAGTCTAGTTCTATAGGCTACACAATCATGGGGAAGACTGCTGACTTGACAGTTGTCCAAAAGACGACCATCGACACCTTGCACAAGGAGGGCAAGACACAAAAGGTCATCGCTAAAGAGGCTGGCTGTTCACAGAGCTCAGTGTCCAAGCACATTAATAGAGAGGCGAAGGGAAGGAAAAGATGTGGTCGAAAAAAGTGTACAAGCAAGAGAGATAACCGCACCCTGGAGAGGATTGTGAAACAAAACCCATTCAAAAATGTGGGGGAGATTCACAAAGAGTGGACTGCAGCTGGAGTGAGTGCTTCAAGAACCACCACACACAGACGTATGAAAGACATGGGTTTCTGCTGTCGCATTCCTTGTGTCAAGCCACTCTTGAACCACAGACAGCGTCAGAAGCGTCTTGCCTGGGCTAAAGAGAAACAGGACTGGACTGCTGGTGAGTGGTCCAAAGTCATGTTCTCTGATGAAAGTAAATTTTGCATTTCCTTTGGAAATCAAGGTCCCAGAGTCTGGAGGAAAAGAAGAGAGGCACTTCATCCACGTTGCTTGAAGTCCAGTGTAAAGTTTCCACAGTCAGTGATGGTTTGGGGTGCCATGTCATCTGCTGGTGTTGGTCCATTGTGTTTTCTGAGGTCCAGGGTCAACGCAGCCACATACCAGGAAGTTTTAGAGCACTTCATGCTTCCTGCAGCTGACCAACTTTTTGGAGATGCAGATTTCATTTTCCAACAGGACTTGGCACCTGCACACAGTGCCAAAGCTACCAGTACCTGGTTGAAGGACCATGGTATCCCTGTTCTTAATTGGCCAGCAAACTCTCCTGACCTTAACCCCATAGAAAATCTATGGGGTATTGTGAAGAAGAAGATGCAATACACCAGACCCAACAATTCAGAAGAGCTAAAAGCCACTATTAGAGCAACCTGGGCTATCATAACACCTGAGCAGTGCCACAGACTGATCGACTCCATGCCACGCCGCATTGCTGCAGTAATACAGGCCAAAGGAGGCCCAACTAAATACTGAGTGCTGTACATGCTCATACTTTTCATGTTCATACTTTTCAGTTGGCCAACATTTCTATAAATCCTTTGTTTTTATTGGTCTTCAGTAATATTCTAATTTTCTGATATGATGAATTTGAGATTTTCATTTGTTGTCATTTGTAATCATCAAAATTAAACAAAATAAACATCTGAAATATATGAGTTTGTATGTAATGTATGAATATAATATACAAGTTTCACTTTTTAAATGGAATTACTGAAATCAATCTACTTTTTCATGATATTCTAATTTTATGACCAGCACCTGTATCTACATCTGTAGAACCTAGATCTGGGATGTTTTTATTCATAAAGCTCTGCTGAGTAAACTCCCAGTATACCTAAGTAACCTACTTTCTGCTCCAGTAGCTACAACTTGCGTGCCTCCAAATGACTGCTTTTGAATTTTCCGAGGACTTTTAAATATTTATCATTTTCCTACTAATGTTGTTCAAATAATTCACAACGAGATGCTGATCTCTAAGCATACATATCCATTATATGAATGAGGTAACAAACAAAAAATCATTTCTTTTTATGGAAGGTTATTTATTAATTTTTATTTTGCTTGTTTATAGTATTTACATTACTCAAATTAAAGGCTGTATTTTTCTACTGTGGGAAGTTTCTAATATGATAAAATACTACTGCAATAAAGTAATATATTAGGTCTGTTACTGGTTCCAATAATCTTTCTTTTTTTTTTTAATAAACCTGCATTTTACAGAGGTACATTATATATATATTTGTTAACTGCTGGATTTGTGATGGCATTTGCTTTTGATCTGTCTCTAGTTTCAGCCACAAAGGATGAAAAAATCACTAAAACAAAACAGAGTCTTTAACTGGGAGGGATCAGTTTTGTCTGGATGGCATTTACTACAGCTTGTCAATCTAAATCTCTGATCACTTTCCTTTCCTCAACTGGATTGGATTGATTTCAAGAATGAAAACGAGACACCTTGTGTAATGGAATGGTTGAAAATTTCATTAAAGCAATGTAAATAATATGGTGAGGCCTGTTCAAAGAACATTACATCAGCAAATGAGATAATAAGCTTAGGTGGGAGATGTACCTCCAAAGGAGTTTAAAAATCTTTAAAAATCAGTTCCGTTAAATCAGTACAGTTAAACTTTTCAATAGTAAACAAAAAAAAAATTATGTTTTTCCCTTTTCATGAAAAAAGTGTTAAAGCTTTTGAGTTTTCAGTTTTTTATTAACTTAAACATAATTTAAAAAGGAAACACAATAAATGAATATTCATCCAATGAAATGTAACAAAATATAACAAATGTTAATAAACCACCAAAATCAGAAACGGCCTCTTTAGTCTTGTGAATCTATGAACTCCAAAAATAACCTTGAACATGCAACTTAGGAGTTCAGGAGAGGACAATTTGGGAAGATACATTTTCTTCCGATTGCTTATAAGGTCTCCTTCTGCTTCTCTGTTCTCACTAAGATCTAAAAAAGAGATTGTGAATGAATAAAAAATAACAAGGAAAGAAACAGCGCTGTTGTTTTTCCAGCATAAATAAGCACCTTTATACTGCCTGGAAAACAAAACATCATCTATTCCATTGGAGATATTTTTAACTGAATTGCAAGAAAGGGTAATAAATGAGGCACTGAGTATTGGACAAGTCCAGTCAGAGCATCACAGATGTAGCGGAAGGGGAGAAGATAGAAGTTTGATTTAAGACATGTTCAGAGACGCCATGGGAGCTATAGACAGAATGGCAGTGCCTCTCACCTTGGCTGCTCATGGGACACTGCAGGTCATGATATAAGGAGGAGTGTGATTTATCTGGGCCGCAGAAACCAAGAGTACAGTAGCCATGCAGCCAGAGGGAGGAGAGTGTAATTATAGACAGATATGAAGGCTGGCATGCAATGCTGCAGAAAGTGCCTCATAGAGACTGGAGGCTGATTGTTAAGCAAGGGGGTCACAGGATACATGTTGGATTACATCATATGTAGAATGAATGAATGAAACAAGGTGAGCGGGTTTGACCTCATCTGTTCATGTTTAATTAACAATCCTGTTGATAAAGATCAGAAAAAGTCTGACTTAATAAACACCCCAAAATGAAGTTGTGTAGTTTCTGTCTGACAGGGAATTTACAGATTTATTCTACCATTCATCCACTTCCCCCTTTTTTGTTTTATGTTTGACCCTATATATAATTATTTATAATGACTTTGCCCCTCACCTGCATTCCTGAGCTTTTTGTTCCTATACACGGACAGGATAACCAGCACGTTCCCGAGGATGTCCACCACGATGGTGAAGATCAGCACGCTGGCCAGCGCAGTGGACACCCCGCCGGAGGAAGCGCTGAGCTCGCAGCCGCTCTCATTCCGCGGGCAGTCCGAAGCGTTCACATCTTT